CCTTGCTTTATTTTATAGACAAGGGTGAGGCAGAAAGGATTATGGCTGACTTACACGAAGGTACCTTTGGCACTCATTCCAGTGGACATTTAATGTCTAAAAAGATCCTACGGGCAAGATACTACTAGTCCACCATGGAAGCAGACTGTTATCAGCATTCACGAACTTGTCACAAGTGCCAGATCTATGCTGATAAAGTGCATGTGCCTCCAGTTCCTATAAACGTCTTGACTTCTACTTGGCCATTCGCAATGTGGGGCATCGGCATGATTGGAGAGATCAGACTGACGACTTCTAATGGGCATCGCTTCATCCTGGTTGCCATTGATTACTTCACAAAGTGGGTAGAGGCAACCTCTTTTGCTTATGTTACCAAGAACGTTGTGGCCCGATTCATCAGACATAATCTTATCTGTCAGTATGACATTCCAGAAAGAATCATTATAGATAATAGTACCAATATCAACAACACTATGATCACCGAGCTCTACATGCAATTCAAGATCCAACATCATAACTCTTCTCCTTATCGGCCGAAGATGAATGGCACCGTTGAAGCTCCTAACAAAAACATCAAGAAAATCATACGAAAGATGACAGTGACATATAAAGATTGGCATGAGATGTTACCATTTTCTCTTCATGGTTACCGCACCACAATGCGCACATCAACAGGGGCAACTCCTTTCTCTTTGGTATACGGTATGGAACCTGTCTTGCCCATTAAGGTCAAGATCCCTTCCTTGAGAATCATGAAGGGTGCAGGGCTGAGCAAAGGCGAATGGGTTCAGACTCGACTTGACCAATTAAACTTGATTGACGAGAAGAGGCTCGCAACTGTCTGTCATGGTCAAATGTACCAAAAATGTATGGTCAAAGCTTTTAACAAGAAAGTCAGACGCCAGGTATATCAGGATGGTAACTTGGTAATCAAGCGCATCATATTGCCGCAAGGTGATCCCAGGGGAAAATGGACTCCCACATACGAAGGGCCATTTGTGATCAAGAACATATTCTCTGGTGGAGCCATGATCCTAACCACTACGGACGGCGACGACCTTCCACACCCTGTAAACGCAAAAATAATTAAAAGATACTACGCATAAACAAAGACCCGCTAGGTCGACTGGGCTAGGCAAAAATTAGGGAAACCCTGCGAACCAAAAGGGTTCGGGCAAAATTTAGGGATATACATAAAAAATCTATACACCCGGCAAGTCGAAAACCTGAAAAGGCGGCTTGGGCAAAAAAGGGTATCTCGGTGGACTGAAAACCCGAAAGGGAGGTCCAGGAAAAAGTTATGGATTTAAAGTGTATAACTATATCCCCTTGGATCACCTTACAGCCAATCTTCAGTATCAACTATCAAGCTCAAGCGGTACTAATCAACCCAATCAACTTTGGACAAGCAGCAAAAGGGATGAGACGCTCAAAGACATAAAGGCAATAGCAGAATGGGAACCCAATGGGATTATTTCACATAGCTATCTTTCTTTGTATACTATTTTTTGTATAATTTGCATTCTTACGACGATTTTTTCTTACCAGGATGCTCGTCTCCTTGTACGAAAATGCTTATTCAAGTTAATACAAAACTATTCCTTTGAAACTGCAAACTTCTGTTTTTATTTTCCTGTTTTGTGTGCGAAAACGTCCAATGATTATTTTTGAACATATGCATTTGAATATAATTAATGCTTATAAATATACACCTAAAAGCAGAAAGACAATTGCTAATGACTTTAAGAAATGGGACAATATCTAAGGGCCATCCACAAAATCCCCGCAGATGTTTTCCCTGGAAGATACCTTCTCAGCAGGTACAAAAGCAGGGGCATTCTACTACAAGGTCACTGCCATATTCTCAGCATGCATCCTATTGATGTCAGTTGTTCTCACATCCTCGCAGAGCAAAAATCTCTAATTGCTGGTCCAAAATTCCCTAGTGAAGTCGCCAAGCTTCTCAGGATTCCCCAATGGGATTTCAACAAAATCCCCAAATAGTTCACATAGTTTACCTTCCCCAACATAGTTTATTTCTCTAACAATGGAAGTTCATCTCCCAGCATTTCAACTTCACACAAAATTTGAAGACCTACATTCTTCACCCCCAGCCATAGTTAGGGATTTATTTTCCCTAGTTCAGCAATACATCAATGGAACAACTGACACGTTCATAAATTGCATTCATACATCATTCATAAAAACATCATAGCATATGCAGCACAAATGCATATATCACAATCTCATTTATTTTGAGAGCATCATGCAATTCATACATCATGACATCACACGAAACTGACTTTACATTTCAGGTTAAATTATTAGAAAGACAAACACTGTCAACTTATACAACAGGTCAAAGATTAATGGCCGAAACCAGACGGGAAAACTATCTACATGACCAAGTGATATGAACTCCTGAAGAAAGACAAGTTTACCAGCAAATACAGCAGGCCACATATTAATGCCCAAAACCAGACGGGGAAACTATCTATGTGCCCAACATTGCCAAGTTCCAGATTAATACCTATAACAAGCTAGGAAAACTATATGTGGACGACTGATTGTAGATTAATACCTATAACAAGACAGAAGATCTATCTACAAGAGGAGATTAAAGATTAATACCTATAACAAACCAGGAAAACTATCTTTCTTTCTCAAGTTAGAGATTAATACCTGTATCAAGCCAGGACAACTATCTTAGCAACTAAAATTTTTTAGGTTCCAGATTAATAATTGTAACAAGCAAGGAGAACTATATGTGAATAGTTTATTTGTAGATTAACACTTGAAACCAGACAAGAAAACTATCTACATGACCAGACAGGAAAACTATCTTTGGGTAACGATTAACTCCATTATCCCCAGCGAGTTACTGGAAGCCTGGACTTTAACCAGAAAATAGTAAACTTCCATCTCTCCAGTACAGAGATAACTCTTCAGCAGAGCCTTGGACAACTGAAGTTACTAGAATCTATTCCCCACATAGTTTTCCTCAAGCAGGAGAACAACAGAAACCCACATTCCCCAGCGGACTCCTCCTCAGAAAGCAGGAACAGGAACCCCCAAAGGGACCATGTATGAAATCAGCATCTTCTTTGAATGGCATCCTTAATCCCATCTATGACGACTCTCGGTCATCTTCTCCAAATGTCATCTGTAAGCCCATTCCCGACATCATCAACCAACAATATTACTTCATGTGAGTGCAAAATTCTAGGCACTCTAGTGTTCAATCATCTTCTACCTTCCGATCACGAAAGGCAGACAAGCCAATCTAAATCCTCAGGTCTAAGAAGATTGAACAGGGGAAGCTGTTGTACCCCAAACTTTTCCCTCCCATTTTTACTCAAAACATGCTCCTAGAGGTCCTTAATTTCTCAAGGTTGACCAAGAATTGACCAGACAAATTCTCCTCCTAAGCAATGAACCTCTAGATAGGGTTTCACTTTTCACCAAGATGTGTGAGCTCTAAAGGTCTCAAATGTTTTCCATGACCCTAATATACCTTCAAGGTTATCCATGACAAATTTCATGCCTTATACTACAAGTTTGCCCAGTCAATTGCTCAAATGCTTGAAAATCAACTGTACTAGGTCAAAAGTCAATTGTGGCCCATGTGTTGTACCATAAATTCCGCCCCAAATTTTTTCAGTTGCGCTTTCATATCATATTTTGTCATTTGGTCACAATCATTAATAAATAGCTTCATTCATCACATTTTCATCATTTAATCATGTTTAAGTTGACCAAAAGTCGATTTAAATCGACATTTGCATTATATTGTAGTTGAAAAATACCCGACATTTCATTTAATGCATTTTTATCTCTTTACTATTTTCTTGCATTGCTCCAAGTTGTTTATATGTTGATAATATTAATATTTAGGTTTTATAGACAAACTGTTAAAAGAGATTCGACACTATGCAGAAAATTAGCGAGAAAAATATTTCAAGTTTTCACCTTTTACCGATCATTTTATGAATCTGCGTTTCACGTAGATTATGACGGTATGCTCGCTTTATTTTTTTGATACAATTTGAAGTCTCATTTTTAACCATAAACGTCTGTTTAACCTGATATTTTTATTATCATTTTATTTCGATTTTGACTTTTTGAATATTTTTTCTTTAATCTTTGTGACATGTAGTTTATTTTAATGTGTTCATTTTATTTTTTCGGATAAATTTTCGTCCGTTTTTTATCGTTTTTGGTCATTTTGGCTCTTTATTTTTATTCAGAAAAAATTCAAAAAAATTATTTTAAATTGAGTTATTTTTTATACTTCCAGGTTTTTATTTTATTTTTATCATTTAAGGGCTTTTTAGTCACAAAATAATGTTTATTACACTATGCTTGATTCCTATTGGTTGTTGACAGAATTTACGAATTGATAAAATTGAAAAGTTTAAGCAACGGTCATGATCAATTTGAAATCATAATTTTCTCATCATTTATTCTATTTAAAGAGCCTAATTCCTCACTAATTTCACACAACAAAAAGCAAACAGTAGCATTTAATCATTTACTCTCTCTATTCCTCTCTTTTACTTACAGTAACTAACTCCTCTTCTCTCTTCCTACAACTCCCAACTACTAACTTCAACCTCCCACCTCCTTCCTCTTCTATGCATCCTCACCGTAACCCATCTCCCTCCCAACCTTCTCCATTCCCAAACCAGAACAACAACAACCCACTTTTGTCTGCTACTTCCTCCTTCATACCCTGTTCATCCATCATCATCGTTCAGTCCGCTAGCATCCCCTGCAACCTCCAATCACCCTTCTTCAATCATTACAAACACCCTTCACTGAACCACTAAACCACCTCCACCGTAATCCACCAACCACCACCGCAAACCAATTACGCAAGCTATCCGCATCAAACCTCAAACTCATTATCACCATCGCAACACCCTACTTCAATCCGTTAAACCCAACCATTCCAGCACCTCCCTCATTAAACCTCCACTCACATTCGCATTCCACTCACAATGAACAACAACATTGTTAACCTTTCAACCACACCACCATTTCTCATCGCCTTCCGATTCCGTAATTTTCTCCGATCTGTCACTTCTAATTTTCCACACAGCACCATCAATACAGCTTTCGCGATTTCCAGCAACTCCCCCCTCTGTCCGCGAAACAATTGTAACTACATCATCAATGTTTTCGAAATTTTCGATAACTCTTTCCATTTTCTTAATTGCTATGCTATTTGAATTTATTTATATATTTTTAGAAAATCAATATTTAATTGCTTCTTATTTTAGTAGTTTGTTTTGATTTAAGTTAGTAAATGTTTTGATGTAAAATAATTGTGACAAAATCTAGTGAAAATGGCCAAATTGTATTGCGAACATTATGTTGTCTAAATTCATAGCGTATAGATTGAATAGTGTTACAATATTGTTGTTCGTGTTTGACACGGTTCTAATGAGATTGCAAAGTTTTCTTTCATGATAAAACTTGTATAAAAAATTATGGTTTGTTCATGTTAAATTGTGACGAAGAATTTGTTACGGTTATGTTGCCCGGATTTGGTTTATTTGAATAATTCTTGATTTGAAATCAATTTTTCATGTGTGAAGTTAGAATTGAATATTGGCATGAGTTATTTGTTTTTTCGTTTCATTTGTGAATTAAAAATCATGATAATTTTTTTTAGTCCATTGTGAATTCAATTTCTCATGTTGCAATGTGAACTTTTGATTTTTTTTCTTCCGTTGTGGTTGAAATAGCATTTGCTTTTGATATACTTGAAACAATGTATGCCATGCCTATTTTTGCTTGTGTAAATATTCCTTTGTTCATGTGCCTTCATGTGATTTCATTTCTATTCTTTATTTTGTGATTGCTAACACATGTTTTAATTGTTGCAATTTCATTTCATTTTAATTTTTATACTGCTTGTGCTACTAACGCGTTTGTTACTGTGAAGGTTTCCGAAAAATTGTTTCAAGTATTCATTCCCGCATAGCGCGTCCACAATTCCTACACTTCTCCCTTTTACCTTTTTATTGTATTTTACTATTCTGATTTAATATTTGGTACCGTAAATATATACTTGTACATAATATTTTTGACTGTATATTTTATTCATTTGTAAATAAATTCAGTTTATGTAAATATTATTTTCATCGCGTTGCAATTTTGATTTTTAATTCAGATTAACTGTTGAAAACCGCACGAACGCACATAATTGTTCCCGTGCTGTTAGTTTTGTTTGTATATTTCATGTGATGCAGGGAATCTTATATTGTGAGCTTTATCCATGCTTTCTTCATCTGTGATTTATTTTCACGCGTTGTGATTCGTTGCGCTTTATTCGCTCCTTGGAGTATTATCTTACATCTAGTTTTTTATGCTGTCAGCTTGTAATTTATTTTCACCTGAGGTTTGGTATACTCCTAGCTTATTTTTTCTGTCTATGGCTTTAAAACCCAAAGGGATGGGAATACAGTATTGACTTCATCATGTCAAGTACTGGTTTCTTATTCGGTCGGATGCTTTTTACCGTATCTTTTACCCTCGTATACATAGGACACTCTTTTCTCCCATTCTTTAATTTTCAAAACCTTCTCATCTTTTTCAAAACCTTATTTTTTTATAAAATCGAACCGCTTTAATAATAAACCTCGGCTTTGTCGAGTGCCTTCTCTTTTAAAAGTTCTTTTCTTTAAACAAACTTCAATTCATTTAATCATACTTTGACATCTTTCAAAATTAACAAAAACACTTCAACTCATTCAAACTCTTTTGTGCGCTCGAGCACCCTTACCCTTCAAACCTTTTTTCAAGGTGAGACATGATTCATTGATAGTCGAGCAACATTCTCCTATCCTCATGGTTATAAAGGTGTCGACTTTTCCACTTGAGTACTAGAGGCGTTCTCAAACCCTCACTCTTGCTGACCCATGGTCCATCTTTCTCACACCTTGTGGGCGTTAGTCGAGATTTCTCTCCTAACAATGGCGACTTGTCTCCTTGTTTAAAATCAACCAACAAACAGGTTTTTTCTAGCCGAACTATGGTGCTCTGACTTTCCCATTGCACGAGGGAATACGTAGGTACTAAGTCTTACGATCCAACGCAAGCAACAAAAATAATAAAAAACATTTCATTTTCTTTTGTTTACAAATACTCATTCATTATTTTCCTTTAGAAAGTAAACCTTTACATAACACTCCTTTTAAAAAGAAACCAAACAAAGTGGATCATGCGGAGTACCTTAGATGTTTAGGGTGCTAACACCTTCCCTTTGTATAACCAACCCCCGTACCTCGATCTCTGATCTTTTATTTCATTATAGGTTTTGTTCGCTTTTTTCCCATTTCCCTTTGGAAACACTAAAGTGCAGTGGTGACTTCATTATGTTGAGATAAGTCAATTGGTGGCTTAATCTCAAATCTTTACTGCTACATTTCTTTTTCTATCATTACTGTCGCAATTTCATTCTCTCTTAGTTCTGATTTGCGCGTGCGACAGAAAGTGGCGACTTCACTGGGGACAGATTGACCTATTGTTGGTCCATTCCTAAGTGGGTCAATCCTAGCTTTGTTTGTTTCTCTTCTATGAGTGTGTATATATTGTTTTACTTGCAGTTTATTACTTCCCATTATGTTGTATATATGTTTGTCTGGATTTTCTTAGTCTTCAAGGGCTTGGTGATTTCTTATAAGTCCTCTACCCAGACTTTGGGAAAACCTAAGATAGGACGGGCGGTATAGTTATGTTAACTTTGCAGGAGTAATCCCAAAAAAGAAGACATGAGATCCCCCACTCAGTGGAGGCCCCTTTGATTGTAGTGTCGTTTACTGAGTAATCGCGAAGACGTATTGCTTTCTACCTGGGAGCCTGCTGAAGCTGAGGACCGTAGAACCTTTAACCCAACTTGGCCTTTTAGGTGTAGTGCAAAAGCTGTGACGGAGTAATCTGGAAATAGTTGTCACGCTATACTACACTCAGACGAGTTTTTCCATAGAATATTACTAATTACCGAGTTAATCAGGACGTTGGTAATATTCGAAGGAAGGATGTAGACTCTGGGAACCTCTTAGAACCTTGTTCGGTAGGTAATAACCATTAGTCCATACCTTATGGGTTGTACCTTTGACTCCAGGCTCGTGATTCTGAACCATGTGATCCTGTTACTGTATAGTGCATTGCATAACATTGCATATCATTTGCATCATTCTACATACATCTAGGTTGTTCAGGATCTTATTCCTAGTTGCTTCTTTCTTCCAGTTAGTCGTCTACCGTCAAGCTGATTGCTGAACACAACTATGGGCTAGAGCTGCTGTCAGATTGAGAATGGAAAACCAAGAAGAACACAACACGGAAGTCAGATTGGAAACTGACGAGTTAAATTCAGGCATGGACAAACTTACTGAGATGATGCAAGTCCTGATTTCTAGAGGAGAGGCACCTCAAAGGACTGTGATATCTGAAATCCCAACTGCTGTTGTTGACACTCAACCTATCCAGCATACATCTACTACATGGCCAGAGTTTGGGTTACCTCATAACTACTCTCCACCTGTTGCAATTACTTCAATGGTTGGCCAGTCTTCCCGACCAATTTTTCAAGCTCCCATTTTCACTAAACCTCAGCCAATCGTTCATACTATTTCTCGTCAACCTGTTGCACAAGCTGCTTTTGGGAACCCTCTCTTTGAGTACCATGATGCCATTCCTCGAAGTGTGAGTCAGGGAGACGTTGGTGAGTTTGAAGAGTTCGAAGAACAATATCAGACTTTAGAGAAGAGACTCCGAGCTATGGAAGGTAATGATGTCTTTGGTATTGCTACTGAAAATATGTGCCTAGTTTCTGATCTGGTTATGCATGCAAAGTTCAAGACTCCCGAGTTTGAGAAATATAAGGGGCATACTTGTCCAAGAATCCACTTGGTGATGTACTTTCGAAATATGTCTGCTTACACAAAGAATGACAAGTTGCTTATCCATTGTTTCCAAGATAGTCTGAGTGGAGCTTCATTGAAATGGTATATAGGACTTGAGAAAGGTCGTATCCAATGCTTCCAAGATCTTGTTGATGCTTTCATAAAGCAATACAAATACAACCTTGACATGGCACCTGATCGTCTCCAACTGCAAAATATGTTTCAGAATGAGAAAGAATCTTTCAAGGAATATGCTCAACGATGGAGAGAATTGGCATCTCAAGTTGAACCACCTCTGGCTGAGAAAGAGTTAACTGGTTTGTTCATGGATACTTTGTCCCCTTTCTTTTGGGAGAAGATGATTGGTAGTGTGTCCTCCATCTTCATAAACCCGGTGACTATCGGCCAAATATTAGAAGAAAGAATCAAGAATGGTAAAGTGTCTAAAGCTGTTGAATCTTCTAATGGTGCAAAGAAATACCTTGGGAACTTTCAGAATAAGAAAGAGGTAGAAGCCAATGTTGTCTCGGCTGAGAGAAGAGGACCTCACCGTAGGCCTCAATACACTGATCAACCACAAGTAGCGGCTATTACTCTTGCGGTTAATGCTCAACTAGTTCAGGTTCCTCAACAACAGAATATTGCGCAAAATCAAAATCAGAATAGGGCTCAATTTGATCCCATACCTATGGCATACACTGAATTGTATCCTGTAATGGTGCAAAAAGGCTTGATTACAACCAGGCCTCTGATTCCTCAAAATCCTCCTCCAGCCTGGTTCAGATCTGACCTTCACTGTGAATTTCATCAGGGAGCTATCGGTCATTATTTAGAGAGCTGCTATGCATTGAAAAATAGAGTGCAAGAATTGGTGAAAGCAAATATTCTCATTTTCAAAGAGGCAGGTCCTAATGTTATCAACAATCCTTTGCTAAAACAAAGTGGCTGATGACTGAGTCGAGGTAACCTCAAGTAAATTCCTAAAGCCAGTGTTTCAGACAGGACAACTCATCCTTGTTACTGATTAGTCACTAGGCCATCTTTCTTTTTGTTTTCATTTTTCCCTTGTTTATGTTAAAATTGTTGCTTTCAAATTCTGTTTGTACTTCTATGTTAAGTTTAATGAAATGAGCATTGCAATGTTTTGATTCAAATAATTTTCATTTACTGCTTTCAAATATATTTCTCTTGTTTACTCCCTTTATCAAGCTTTTGTTTATGCAAAGATTTGAGGGAGGATGATGAAAACGGAATACCCATAATTGTTGCTGGTATGCTTTCGAATAAAACTTTGCTGAGGATATACAAGCATTATT